TAAAAACTCTTTCTTTTTTTCGGCATTTTAATCTTTTGAACACTTTCTTTTATAGTTTTTAAAGAGACTTTTTTCTTCCGTCCTTCCTTCTTTCTTTCTTTCTTTCTTTTCTACTTCTGACATTTTTTGTTTCTTTTCAAAATATTTAACTCTTTATTTCTTTTACTTTTATAAACACATTTGCTTTCTTTCTTTTTTTAACTCTCTTTCTTCTTTTTCAAACATTTGTACCGTTTCTTTCTTTTTTTTTGTTTTACTTTTTTAAACAAACTTTCTTTCTTGACTCTTTCCTTTGTTTCTGTTGTCTCAAGTCAATTCTTCATCTGTGAGGAAATTGTCCAGCATTAAATGCCATATAGGAGGATAGATATTACACAGTAAATCGGGACTCTTTTCTTTGTTCCTTTGCTTCAAATCTCTCCTTCATTTTGGGGGAGATTGTCCAGTATTCACTGCCATATAGGAGGACTGATATTACGTAACAGTTCAGTACTCTTTTCTTTGTTTCTGTTGATTCAAGTCTCTTCTTCATCTGTGAGGAGATTGTCCAGCATTCACTGCCATATAGGAGGATAGATATTACACATTAATTCGGGACTCTTTTCTTTGTTTTTGTCGTTTCAAGTCTCTTCTTTATCTGTAAGCAAATTGTCTAGTATTCACTGCCATATAGGAGGATAGATATTACACAGTAATTCGGGACTCTTTTCTTTGTTTCTCTCGTTTCAAATTTCTTCTTTATCTGTGAGGTAATTGCCTCAATCATTCACTGACATAAACAAGACATTAATATAACATTTTATTAGTTTCCCGCTTTTTTTTTGAATAAGCTTTTGGAAGGAATACGTCGTTATTCCATTGCGCGTTCGGATTTCGGAGCCACATTTTCTGCTGTCAGTTAAAACGCACGCCAGATATCTAAATTTCTGTGCTTTCTTGATTTTGACGTCACTGATTCGTAAGTCGAACTTTGGTATGTACCTCTGGTTATACTGACTTTATTAATTTCTAATTACTTTTTCTTCCCGGCGATATCGGGATTGAAAACAAAAATTATTTCCCCATAAGCAAGGCAATGAAGCCACTAAGATGCAAGAAGTTACAGAGTGTGAAAAAATATGGAAAAATAATGAGTGAGAACAATAAAAGAACAAGAATTAAGAAGACAGTAGATAACGATTAACATTGCCTTTAAATTTGACCGGAAGAGAGTTCTACAAGCGATAAATGCGACAGAAGAAACTATTAGCATAGAACTTACGGTTGCATCTAGACGTTTCGACTATAAAATGATGAGATTTTGCCACCAATTTAGTACTGCGCTTAAATTCAGAAAGTCTAGAGGAAAGTGATATTTATTCTGTACAATACAGAAATGTGGCACAAGGCCGAAAAGGGGATTGGGGAAGGGACGGTCTTCTTCTGTCTTAACTATAACTTAGCTAGCCGCAAACACTGACCCAATCTTACGAAACAATAATCCTTACACCAAAACAACACATTCATACGTACCTTTCTTACTATAACCACCATAATACCTCTTTGTCTCTATGAAAATACTAACTAGTCCCCATATTTACAATTCGTTGTCTGTGGGGGGAAGGGAATAAAACAACAATTCTAAAAGTTAACCCCAATGAGTATTTACAATAGAGGAATGTTCATCAGAACAATTACCATGGAAGTATTTATAGAAAAGACACAGGGAAAGCCTACATTATGGCGGCGGTAAAGCAACTGAAGTCGAGATGCCAGGTCAGGATCAGTAATATTACAGACTCTTCTTTGTATATTATGAAGAATCTGTAAATATACAGCAGAAGCACCAGACGAGATGCAGCAGCAATATTCAAAGCAAGGATGAATGGTAGACTTATAAATATGTAAGATAGATTCTTCTTTGGATTTTATTAAGAATCTCTAAATATATAGCAGGAGCGCTAGACCAGATTTGGCAGCAATATTCAAAGCAAGGATGAATGGTAGACTTATAAATATGTAAGATAGATTCTTCTTTGGATTTTATTAAGAATCTCTAAATATATAACAGAAGCACCAGACGAGATGTAGCAGCAATATTCAAAGCAAGGATGAATCTTAGACTTATAAAAATGTGTAAGATAGATTCTACAGGGAAAGTTTGTCTAGTATGACACAGAGAGCCAACTTTCCTAGCAGTAAAAATATTAATTAATTTAATATCATTTACGTTTGATGTCAGCGGAAAACATTAGCTCGAGAATATTCAACGGGTGATTCTCCTGGAGAGGGTCAGCATTAGCCATGCTGGCTGAAGGCAAAAAAAAAAAAAAGGTTTCTCGCAGACAATTAAAAGAGAATATTTTCGTTTTGGAGGCGCCAAAATTAACAAGTCATTCCTTGCCCCAGTTAACGACAGACTGTAGGTAATTTTTTCAGATCAGCTGCCAATTTGCCCTTAGCGAAACGAATGGACTTAATTATCATTATTACGAACGATAAACTCAGCACGAAGAGAACATCTGGGCTTGCACTCCGGACGATTTTACACTTGAACCGAGTCCCAAAATTAAAAGGAAAGCTCTCAAAACTTTAGCCAACTTCAAAGACATCTGAACTAATATTGATCACCAGGTGGAATTCAAATACCATTCGTCTGGCTGGCCTGCTCCGAATATAAGGTCACAGTATAGCAGCCCAAGACTGCAGTTAAGGCAAAAATGACCTTTATGATAAGAAAATGACCTCTTCTTTTATTTGTTTAATATTATCCACGGAAAGTATTCAGACGAACAACATTCTTTAGTTCCACTAGTTCTAAGACGTCACGGTTTGCTTGTCACTGTCTATAAGTATTTCGTCATCTTTTTGCCATCTCGTAAAAAAAAAGCTTAAAGTTTTTAGTACATAGGTAGACCCACCACGCCACGCCCCTTGTTAAAGCGACCCACCCTGATTCCCTTTCATTGGGGAGGTGCAATTTTCACTCCTCCACCTTCTTCCCACGAATTGCTGTCCTGTGGACCCAACTCCCAAGAGGATGCTTCCCCGATCAATCAGTCCAAATCTAGGGTCGTTAACTGTTTATCTATCTTCTCTATATATTCCCATAAATTGGGCCTCATACTTTGAAATCGTCTAACTCATGTGATTCCTGAGATTTATGGGGATCATTATTTAGAGCAATAAAAAAAACCTCTATGGAGTCTGGTATTGAAGAAATAAACGGTTTGCTTTTTCAATCTATAAGTATTGATGGCATCTTTTGCAATCTAAAAAAGATAGAAAAAAAGTTTAAGATTTTAATTTTTAGAATTTATGAACATACTTTAGATAGATAGATGAAGATAGATAGATAGATAGATAGATAGATAGATGAATAGATAGATAGATAGATAGATAATAGATAGAAAGACGTTAGCTAGAAAAGCTTTTAGATAGATAGATGAATAGATAGATAGATAGATAGATAGATAGATAGATACGAATAATTTGGAATTGAAAAATAATCAGATGATATATAGATATTCATAGATAGATAGATATATATAATGAATAAATATAATAGATAGATAGATAGATAGAAGATAGATAGAAATAGATGAATAAATGAATATATTGAATATATAGATAGATTATGATAGATATGAATAAATTGAATAATTTTAAATTCTAGAAGATAGAATAGATAGAAGATGGAATAGATATGCTAAATTGAAAATAGATATATAGACATGGAATATATATAATAGATAGATAGATAATGGACTTTAGATAGATAGATAAATAGATAGATAGAGGAGATAGATAATTATAGATTGATAATTCGATGAATCTCGCTAAATAATATTGTTCTAGCTTTTTAGCTTTTAGATAAATAGATATATAGATATGTATTTAATATAAAATGATAGATTTAGACAAATAAAATAGATTATAATTTGCAAAACAAAATTTTCCCAATATAGATATATATCCCTTACAGATCAATAGAATATATAGATAGATAGATAGATAATATATAACATTAGATAGATATAGATGGAATAAACTGAATATAGCTAGATAGAAGAATAAACAGATTTTTTTTAGATAGATATAATAGATAGATAGATAGATGATAGATAATGAATGAATACGAATAAATTGAATATAGCTAATATTAGATAGCTAATAAATGAATAAACATTAGATATATAGCTAGATAGATAATAACAGATAGATATGAACAGATTTTCTTATAGATAGATAGATAGATAGATAGATAGATAGATGAATAGATAGATAGATAGATAGATAGATGCGAATAAACTGAATATATCTAGCTTAAAAGGCTAGCTATTTATGCTATTTTATAGATAAATATAATAGATAAATATAAACAGAATTTTAGATAGATAGATGGACAGACAGACAGACATGAACAGACTAGTAGATGTATTTAAATTGTTTATAACTATTTTTTCCTTTTGGAAATTCGGAAAAATTTCTTTTCTTTCTGAAATTTTATAATCTGCTTTTCCTTTATTCGTCCGGTCACCATAAATTTGCTTTCATATTATTATTATTATTATTATATTATATATTATTATTATTATTATTATTATTATTATTATTGCTGTTGATGTTCTTGTTTTTTTTCATTTTTCTATTTTGTTTTATTTCTTCTCATTTTTATTTGTAATTTTCGTTTTCCTCCGGCAGTCGCCATTTCCTTCCTTCATTTCTCTTTTCACCCTAGATTTTTTTTTTATCTGTTACTCGTCAGTTTCCCTCGACTTCATCTCCGCCTACTAACTTTCTTTCATTAATCAAATATCCCACCAATTCTTTTAAATCTTCGACAATCTATTTTTAATCTTACCTTTTTTTTTTTTGTCTTTATTTTTAAATTAGTTTTTAAGAATCAACAGGTGGCGCTGCAAGATATCGTTAAATATAAAATCTCTTTTCGAATCTTAACCACGTCCATTTTTTTTTACAATTTGTTTCTTTTTTTTTATATTTTTCAGTCAACTAATATGATTCTTTTGTTTGTTGTTTTCTTTCATTCTTTATTTCTTGAAATTTTATTTATTTTATATTCTAAGATTTTCCGCTTTTAGTTTTTTTATTTTCTTTTTCTTTTTTGTTTTTTCTTTGCTTCATTATAATTTCTTTCTTTTTTGAGAAAACTTTTTTTTCTTTCTTTTTTCTTTTGGGGAAAATTCTTAATTTTTTATTTTCTTTCCTTCTTTCTTTCTTGTTATTTCTTTCTTTCTTTCTTTATTTATATATTTTCTCTTCTTTTCCGTTTTATTCATTCATTTTCTTCCTTTCTTTCTTTTCTATTTTTTTTCTTTTCTTTTTTCTTTTATTTTTTTCTTTCTTTTTATTTTCTTTTTGCAAAATTTTCTTTATTTCTTTTCTTTTTTTTTTTTTTTTCAATTATTTTTCTAATTTCTTTCTTGCAATCTTTTCTTTCTTTTTTTTTCTTTTTCTTTCTTTTTTTTATTTCTTTCTTTCTTTCTTTCTTTCTTAAAATCAATTTTGAAATTTCTTTTTTTTTCTTTCTTTCTTTCTTTCTTTCTTTCTTTCTTTCTTTCTTACCAAACCTTTCTATTTCTTTCTTTTCTTTCTTTTTTTTTCTTTTCTTTGTTTCTTTTTTCTTTCTTTTTTTCTTTCTTTTTTCTTTCTTACCAATTTCTTTCTTTTTCTTTTTTTTTCTTTCTTTAATCTTTCTTTCTTTTCATTTAAACTCAAAAATTTCTTTCTTTTCTTTATTTCTTTCAATTAATTTCTTTCTTTCCTTTCTTTTTTTCTTTTTATTTTTCTACAATTTTCTTAAAATTTTTTCTTTCTTTCTTACCAATCATTTTTCTTTCTTTCTTTCTTTCTTTCTTTTTTTTCCAATTTTCTTTCATGAAACCTTTTCTTTCTTTTTTTAAATTTCTTTCTTTCTTTACAGTTACCAATCACCTTTTTTCTTTCTGAATTTTCTTTCCAGTTTTATTTTCTTTTTTTTTCTTTCTTTTTTTCTTTTTTTTTTTCTTTCTTTCAGGATTTTCTTTTTTCTTTCTTTTCTTTCTTTCTTTCTTTTTTCTTTTGAGAAATCACCTTTCTTTCTTTTTTCTTTTCTTAAAAAAATTTCTTTCTTTCTTTCTTTCTTTTTTCTTTCTTTTCTTTCTTTTTTCTTTTTTTTTTCTTTTTTTTTCTTTCTTTCTTACCAATTTTCTTTCTTTTTTCTTTTTTAAATTTTTCTTTCTTTCTTTCTTTCTTAGCAATCAATCATTTCTTTCTTTCTTTCTTTCTTTTTCTTTTCTTTTATTGCAATCTTTTTTCTTATTTCTTTCTTTTTTTCTTGTTTAAAGGAAATTTAAATTTTTTAGATCCATCTTTTCTTTATTTATATTTATTTAACTTTCTTTCTTTTTTTCATTCTTCTTTTAAATAATTATTTCCTTTTCTTTTAACACAGATTAAATTCATCTAATTATTTTTATTCTTCTTTTCCCCATTTCCATATTAAATTTTTTTGTTTTTTTTCTCTCATTTCACATAATTCTAAATATCCGAAGCTCTTTGAATACCCCATCTTGTCCCATATAACACACAAATTTCCCTCCGATTTTTTTTTTTCTTTTGCCAAAATTGCGTGCCAAAAAAAATCTGGGGAAGTCTTTTAATCTAAATAATAAATCCTCCTCCTTTTTTTCCTTTTGCCAACCTCTGGCCAATCAAAGTTCCTCCTCATTTTATCATACAATACCGAAAATATATATATACAATACCGACTTTCAGGTCTTTATTTTTTTTTAGGGTACAGAAAATTAATTAGAGCGTCTAAGGTTATGAAAACCCAACAGATGTGTGCGAGTATGCAAATGGAGGAATCTTAGTCTCTATGCATACGTGTGTGAAGGTATCTGGAGATGGGAAGATGTGTATAGTGGGGTGGCGTCCTAGTTACTGAAAATATGTATATTTGTGCGTCAGTATATGTATGGACGCAAGTAGTTGGGAGAAAACCATATTTGTGTGTGTGTGTGTGTGTGTGTGTGTGTGTGTGTGTGTGTGTGTGTGTGTATGTGTGTATATATATATATATATATATATATATATATATATATATATATATATATATATATTTAGGCAGCAATCCTTTATGCATGTTTCATTAAAAACGACAGACAAGATACTACGGTTAAATTTTTTATTTAATTTTTCTTGTGTTCTAACAAGTGCTTTCTTTTCTGGACAAAGGGTGTGTACGAACTGTACAAATGTTTTATATTTCTGAGCGCTTTCGGCTATACCTTTAGCCATTATCAAGGATGATTCGATTTTTCGGCTTAATTGAGTGAGTGCGTTATGTGTATGTTTTAGTGTGTGGTAAGGATGTTTTAATTTCCGAATACGGTTAGCACATTGTGGCTTTGTTCGTAGTTAATATTGTTAAGAGTTGGCTTTTTCTTTTTTATTATTAAAGCTTCCATTATTTTTAGTTTTTTTTTGCAGGTGGATGCAGTTAATATATTTGTGTTTTCTACTAGTATGTTCCTAATGGAATCGGGTAAATCTGTGTGTGTGTTTAAATGGGTTCTAATGGAGCTGTGATCAGATAGGTGTAACGTAAGACGTCTGGATAAGCATGTGGTTGTGTAACCGATGTAATTATTTATGAGTTTGGTTTGATCAGGAACATAGTTCCTTAAGGGGCATTTGAACTCATAGATATATCGTTTTTTTATATCAATATCAGTGAAATTGGATAGTTGTTCCTTACTTCACCATATATATTTAAATGCTAAACCAATCGCCATATTTTATTGTCCGTTCTACTCACTAAAGTTTTCTTATTCTCTTTCATTTCCAGTAACTCATTGCGTCTTAGTGGCATTATCGCCTTGCTTGGGTTCAAAATTATTTTTAGAAAATTCTGGCGACTGATTCTTGGTCCTTGTATCGAGTGAACGTTTATAAAAATATTAACTTATTTGCCCGAAATTACGAAATTTTTAGATCTTTAGAGACCGGGGAAATGATTTTTAATGCATCTCGATTTCAGTCCCCAAAACAACCTCCCTAACACAGCTTAGAAATTTATTTTATCTTTCTATCAATCCCTTTTTTAGAATAATTGTTCTGAGGAACTTGTTTCTATGGTAAATAACCCACAGGGTAAATACCGGGTGTAACAGCAAAACTGTCCAAATCGTGTAACAGCATGCGATAATTGCCCATCCTCCCAAAAATGTTTTTCTCTATTATTAAAAAAAAAAAACACTACACTAATAGTTTCTTTTTCCGGGGTTTCAGATAAGATGTTTAGCCATCTTGACACACCATTTGTCATAAGAAAAGTGAAAATATTTTTGAGTTATTCATTTAGAAATAGAACAGGTTGAATATAAATTTTGTGTCAGAAAAAACTATGTCTTTCCAACTGAGCAATGGCAAGAGGAAAACGATCATTCAGGCCTTCAGTAATGGTATCAGCATTCATACTCTGGCTTCCATCTCAATTCAAGAACCATCAATTAAAGAACTTGAATAAGTTTAAATAATATGTAGAGAGAAAAAATTTTGGATCTAAATTATTAGGAGGTCACAACAGCAAAAGGGATGATCATTTCAACTTAGTGCTAAATACATTTTTATTGTTCAAAGTAGTGTCAAATAGCGTTATAAAAACATCGGAGAATTCCAGTAAGATATCTTTAATCATTTCTAAGATACGGCGGTTCGAATCTTAATCTAACAATTGGACGATTTTGCTGTTACACGAAAAAAAAACTTATGCTTTTACACCTGAAAAATACATTGAATATAAATATATACAATGGGGTTATATTTTTAAAATTGAAAATTTTTATTAAGACGAAAATTGTACATATGGTGGGGGACTAGTTAGGACTTCATAGAGACTATGAGGTATTATGTTGACTGTAGTAAGAATAGTAAGTAAAAATGCGTTGTTTTATTTATTTTATATGTGGTATGTTTGGGTCAATAATTATATATTAGCGAGGTTTAATTATATAACAGAAGAAAATAATTGTTTTTAATTCCCTGTTTTGGCTTAAATAATACTTTCAAAATAAATAATACTTTCCGTTTTGGAATTTATGAATAAAAATTTGACATTTTCTGGCATTTATAACCCTCATCATTTTACAGTGAAATTCGTTAAATCATAACCGTAGGTTTTATGTTTTTATTTCTTCTCAAAATTCTCGCCTGTGGAAATATCTAAAAATTTAAATAAAAGTCAAGTTTTAATTTAAAAATTAAATTAAATGTCAATCGTTATGCTTCTGTCTTTTAATTCTTCTTATATATAAGCAGTTTTCTTATAAAATTCAAAATACTCAGCAAACCCTTGCGTCCTAGTGATTTTATTGCCGAATTGAAACCTGATTAGAAATGATTAAAAAAATATATAGTTCGGATATTTTTTTCGATCTGAGTTTTTATCTGTAATAAATTAAACCTCGTGAAATTAGTATTAAGATAATCACGAATGTGACCCCCTTTCATTTTTTGACACAAGGTCATTTTCAACATATACCCCAAATGTTTTATATTTGGGCCGATGGTCCAAAGCTGGTCTCGAACTTTCATAGCTTGTCCATAGCTGGTCAGATTTTTGTTTATTTATATATTCATAGTTATCTTGGCTTAAAGGCCGGAGCCGGTCCAAGATAGTCTCTTTAGGTATACCACCAGCCAAGGGACGATAATATATGCAAAGATAAGTTGTTCATGAAAGCTTTCGAAAATGATGAAGACTGAAAATTGAAATGCATGTTGATTTTTAAAACGCTCAAACAGCGTTAAAATTAAAAAGCCGACTGTGTATGACTGTATATTATCAAATTTTGAACGTTGAAAAGGCGTACGCGAGAGACAGACGTTAAGTTCCAAAAAATAAAATTTTGCGCGCAGAAAATCTCCACGAGGAAAGTTTTGGTATGGGTTGTAGGACTTGATCAGGGTCTCTTCAACAGTCAGGCCAGCCAATGACAAGTTGTGTGAAAAA